AGCATCAATTCATTAATGCAGTAAGGGTTTATTTTATGACTCTGGCACAATTCTTTCCAGGCACTATTTTGGAAAGTGAACAAATCTTACCATCAACTCTTCTACGGTTAGGGAGTTACAATCCAGGGACCCAAAGGCAAATACTGATAACCACCTCTTCTTATTTATTTTTGTGAGACACAATGCAGGGGACAGGGGGGAGGTGAGTACAGGTGCCCTCCCAAGCCAAAAAGGGCATCAGATCCCCTGGAGCTGGGGTTACAGGTGATCTTGAGCTACCTGCCATGGGTGCTAGGAACTGAAGTTGGGTTCCCTGGAAAAGCAGCAAGCGTTCTTAACCACTACACCATCTCTCCAGCCCAACTGCATCTTTATGAGTAGAGAAATGACAAAGTTCTCTCACAATATGCTTCGGATTCCTGGCCTGTCCAGTGGTGAAATGGCTCCGGCTTTGCACTGCATCTTACTGTTTCTGAAGCCAGCTTTACAGACCAACCCAGTCATTAAACACTGTACAATCAATAGCTGATACTGCACTTCAAGTAAGCTTTTATCATCAGAAAAAAGGTCCATTATACACATGCACACACAAACACGTCTTGCTTACATTCTAGACCTACCACTATAAAGAGAACACTGTGAACTGATTTTTCATAGTTAAGTATCATTAAACACTGTAATTAGAGTTCATACTCGGGTTAATAATCAAGGTAGTTTTCTCTCCAGGCACGCCCCTAACCCGTCACAAAGGTATTTCCATAGACTTAAAAGTTTGACAAAGTAAAATGAGAAAACATGCTAGAGATCAATATTCAGAACACTGAATTAAAGGCAAGTAACTTATTTAATAGATTGTTCAAAGTTCACAAAAAAGACATTATCTAAAGTTTGTTCTGAAAAGAAACCCACCTCCTTGAAAGATATTATTGACCTAATTATTGGAAACCAATTAGACGTAAGACAATCCACTTAATCCTAAAGCCTCTAATGGGTTTTACAAATTAAACCTATTAAACATTTTTGAGAGCATTTAATTTAGGCTGAATAAAACAACAGTACTTAAATAATTCAGGACTCATTAAGGTCAATTTATTCCAACAGAATTAAGCATTCGGCTCTATGCTCTTTGGATGTCATCAAGCACTGTGTGGTGGCAAGAAAAGTAGACCTAGGAGACGCGGGTCTGGGTTCAGGTGGCACCATCTGTGTTGGTCTTTAAGGTGCCATAATTTAGATAGCTTTGAATGTTGGGTTTTTTCCCAAAATGAAAATTTTTCCATCTCAAAAGAGCTTCAGACAGGCACGGCGGCACACACCTTTAACCCCAGCACTCAGAAGGCAGTGGCAGGCAGAAATCTGGTTTTGGCAGAACTGGCAGGCAGAGTTCAAGGTTGGTCTGGTCTACATAGTGAGACCCTGTCTCAAAACAAATGAGTTTCATTAATATTGGGGTAAAAGTGCTTTGAAAACCGAAAGGCAATAATCCCACTATTGCATCACACAACTGTCTTCCAAGCAGGCTATTAGTCAACTCTCCACTCTTAAATGAACCTGATCCATCAAAACACCTACAGGGATGCTATCTATAATCACACCAGACCAGTGGTCTCCTCCCTCCTTGTGCAAAATTGCCCAATTGTTTTCCTGAACTGTTAGGTGCTCTCAGAAACATAAAACCCCTGAAAAACAGGCTCATTAGTTTTATAGCAGTTCTCTAGCTCACACCTGATACATGTTTAGTATAGCCACTGTGCAGCTCAGAACGATCTCCTGATTTCATGCATTCTGACAACTCTAGCCACGTGGCTCAGGGTTTCTTTTTAAATGGAGACAATGGCTACAATGAAATTATCCTAATTATTCTCCAGATTCTGACTGAAACCGAAGGTCTGATGACAGCTGTTCATCTTTGCTCCCTCAGATTTTCACCTCAACTGTCTCCACTGTGCATCAATTACTACTTGCGTTTTTCTCTCCTGCTCACTTTTTGTTATGCCTTGTATGTTGTATTTCTAAAACCCAAAGCCTTCTCCTAAAAGTCAGTAGTCACCATGCACATTTTTCTCTCAAGTATGTCCACAGGAAAGTTTTATATGAAACATGCAAGGTAACCCTGCTTCTAAACTGATTTCTACTGTACACTTATCTCCTTGAAAGCACTTGCCTAGGCTCCAAACTTTTAGGTATCTACGGTCTTGGAAACAAATTTTGTCTTTGAGAATAATCTTTTCTATACTCAATGTATTACCTCTCCACTCCTTAAGTATCCCCATGCTACTATTGAACATAAACTCCTAGGCCAGGCACGGTGGCTCAGGTCTCTAATCCCAGCACTTGGTAGGCAGGAGGACTGCCTGTATGTGTGAAATAATATGATCTTGTTTCTACAACATAGTAAGGTATTGAATCCCAAATATAACAAATTTTAGCAATTACACTATTACCTTAACTTTGAAAGTTCGGAGCACTGTGGAATTTAATGATGCAACAGTTTCTTTAAAAGGTGTCAATACCTTCCATAATGGAATTAGTGCATTACTGGGAAAAATGAGCATTTTTGCCACTAATAGCTTTAACTGTCAAATTATTTAAATTCTGAGAAACAAAACATGTCTATTTGAAGGGGAAAATTTGTTTTATTGGTTCATATAACCTGCTGGCTTCATAAAAGGGTGAGTTTCTATGGCATGAAACAAAAATATCAAAGACATAAAAACTTTGCAGTTATAAATGAGCACAAGAGTACGTATTTCCTAGAATACAAATTTTACTAAAGTGTATTTACTAAACACTCTCAGTCAAGGGGACCAGAAGTCTGTAAAACAGTCTCAAGAAACTTGAAATCAACTCACCATGTAACATCCAATAATAAACATCTATACAATTTGAGAGCAGGTCCTTCCCTAACATATGAAAAGTTATTTACAAAAATATACTCTCAAGCGATTGAAGCATTAGGAAATTGAGATACATTTATACAGCAGAGGTATTCCTAAGAATTCATCTTAACTAAAAGCTTATCTCTTAGTATTAAAAGACCTTAGACTGATAATCATTCCCTATAACCCCTGTACTGCATAAACTTTTAAGAAGTAAAAACACCAAATTTCTAACAGAACAGGCTGAGAGCTCATGGAAGACTATACCAAGCCCTGAAGTCTTCTCTGACGTTATCCCCTCCACTGCCTTACTGGTAGGCTATGCTCATTAAAAGGCAGTAAGACAGATACTTTGACCAAGGAAAACAGGAAAAAGTAACTTGATTAGAAATATTTGTATTTAGCTTCATCTGCATAAAAATGTATAAATATAAGCTTCATGTTCTAGGTACAAAAGAACCATTCTATTTAGAAGCTAAATTATTTTAAATTAATCTGGAAATAAACTATTAGACCTAATGTTACATGTTTTGAGGCTAAAATATTAAGTCTCATTAGAACTGGCTTCTGGGTCTTGAATCTGTACACCTCTACAACTCAAAGAACGTCCAACAATAAGATGGAAGAGCTGCTTTTCTCTAAGGGTTACATCACATGAGGGGTGTGGGGCAGTGGCATCATTAACCAAATAGTCAACAAATGAACAGTTCAGTTTTGCCAGGAAGCAGTTTTAAATCAATTTATTTCATATTTCAGTAAGCATTAGAAATTCTACATAAAATATACTTTCTGCAGCTTATTAGCTAAAGCTTTACTATATTAAGTAAAAGTTAATAAAATTTTAAATTTAGTTAATTGCCCTGGCTACACTTCATGGGCTCAGGAGTGAAGTATGACTAGTAGATACCATACTGAGGGATGCAAAGAGCATTTCCACCATTATTAACAGTGCGACTGGGCAGTGCTGATCTAAAGAAAGTCCAGCTGTGCAACATGCTGAGCTTTTCTAAAACCCTATTTTAAAAAGTTATTTATAAAGCTGGGTGTCGTGGCGTAGGCTTTAATCCCAGCACTCATGGGGCAAAGGCAGGTGGACCTCTGTGAGACAGAAGCCTAGATTGGTCTACATAATGAGTTCCAGGCCAGCTGCGGCTACAGAGAGACCCTGTCTCAAAAAGTTGTATATATAAAAAATAATCATTACACCGTTGAGCTATAGGTTACACTAATCTGTGTTCAAGGTATGAATGCTGGTGCTATCAAATTTCTGGTCCCAGAATTTACACAGAATCTATGAAGCATTCAAGAGTTCCAAGAAAGACCAAATTAGGTATTTTTCACATTACTATAAGAACAAAATATTGGGCATGAGTGACAAAATTTAGCAGCCATGATTAAAACATTATTTACTCCTTCCACTAACATTTAGTATTTCAAATATGAAAGCAAACATAATCACCAATTTCAGTTTGTCACAAGAATGAGTCAAAAGCCTATTACAGGGACTGGAGAGATGGTTCATTGGGTAAGAGCACTGGCTGTTTTTGCAGAGAACCTAGGTTCAAATCCCAGCACCCATCTAGAGGCTAACAACCTTCTGTAACTCCAGTTCCAGGGGATCCAATGCCCTCTTGTGTTCTCTGCACTGCACAACATGGATGCACTTACATACATGCAGGCCTAACACTCATACACATTAAAAAAAAAAACAAAAAAAAAAACAAAAAACAATTAAAGCCTATTAGGCCTGCTCTACTTTAGTCTTTAGTAAAAGGAAAAACCAAACCAAAACAACCTACCATTACTTACATCAGGAGGCACTATACAAACACTAAACTAAAAACTGTCTTAGGAATAAACTGCTATGGACAAGGACAAAAAATAAGCAACTTTAATGAATGCAAAAATTCTCTCATTTGTACTATTAGTTGAGTTGACTAACTCTGAGTACATTTAACAATCAAGTTTGCAATTTTATTTTCAAATTTACTTTGTTGGAACACAGAGCAGTAACAACTGTATCATTCCTTCCAAATAACTTCTGGATAAAAGGCAGACAATGGGAAACAGAATAGACTGCTTATTTTTCTGAAACCAAATCAGAAAACACACACAGCTATATCTTAAAGAAAAATGCAAACACAACTTAACCATACTTTATTTGACTGCATCTTATTTTAGACAGCTTGCACATTTCAAATCCCATTAAATGTCTCTCTCCCCAAAAGGATGGGGACAATAGGAGAAAATTATGCAGCAATATCCAGTCCAAACAGCAGTCCAATATTGAGATACACGTGATATTTCATAGATACTCAACTCATATCTGACATCAATATAACATGGTGACATTCACAAACCTGAAAGTCGTGTAATATAGTGCTCATTTTAGTGATGTCAAGGTGCACTGAGAAGTAATTCTGATGTACTACCAAGCTGATTTTCTCTATGCTTCTGGAAAGTGATGACCCTCATGATTTTTAGACACCATAATAAATACACACATTCAGTCTTGTACATGTTCGCCAATACCATAACACAGGGCAAGGTAGAGTTAAAACATGACAAACTTCTTTACATAGATTTGTCAAGCAAGCATGTGTGGGTATGTGGAGGAGGGGTTGGGGTAATTTGAAGTGAGGTCGAAATATTAAAACCAATTTTTAATAGTAACGTTTTTCTTATTTGCTGGCTTCCACTTCAAACACTACTGTATTTTATGATCTGTGGACTTCTGGTTTCACTAGAATTGAGTAATTTCACCCCAATGTAAAGCAATTACAATCAGCCCACACATCAAAACTGGTAGTATACCTGTTAGCATCTTCAATACGAACATATGTAGCTTCATGGTAGCATGTGTGAAATGTTCAGCAGTACCAACTGCCAAACCAGTGTCAGTGGACAGTACAGTCAGTCTTAAAGAAACAGCACCCCATTAAAAGAAAGCTGCACAAATTGCTCAGTTTTAGCAAAAGTGAACCCACTGTCAATTATAAATGAAACTAAGCTAAAGAAAAAGGAAAGCCTAATATCAAATTAATGTTTGAAGAAATTTAACTTAAATGGAGACTTTTAGTTTTGGTAATAGGTTATATCATGCTAGAGGTCAGAATTTAGGTAAAAAAAAAAAATTTTGCTCACGCAATTAAAAACATACCAGTATACGCAGATACGCAACGCGTACCAGTTGAGCAGTACTGTAATGACCTGACATTTCAGTCACATAGTTAACTAAGGTCATGTTCACAAACTCTCAGGCAATCATTTCAGTTAATTCTGCAATTCTGAAGTTAAGGAGAGTAATGATGGCTTCACCAACAACCTAATAGAACAGAACTTTTGAACTGACAAGTCTAGCATGTATCTACTTTACAACTATACTTATTAGAGTCAAGCAAATGTTCATCAACAATCGTTACCTATGAAACAGCAAATCAAATAAACGGGTGCAATAAAATTTGATGATTTTTTAAAATCAAGTATACAGTTTTAACCTACTTTCCTCCACACCGAAAATAATGGCAGAAGCATCATGATGACTGGCATTCTTCTAAACACTAGAGCCCAAATGAAGTTTGACCAAAACCAGGCTAAAATGGTCAGCAGAAAAGCTAATTACTAGTGTTCATCCCTTTTTAATATTACCAATATTGTGCGTTCAACTCTAAAGAGCAATATAAAACAGAAAGACAGCATTTTCTTTAAAATAAGGAATTACAAATGATCCCACCAGCAGGAAGCTTTTATTTTCATCAAATGTAAGTTGTGTATCTTTTATTTTAAAAGTATTTGTTACCATGTTCACTTGCAAAACACTATACTGAGCAAAAGAGCAGCTTTCCTTTAAAAACAAAAAAAGAAAAAAAAGCAACAAACTTTCCTGAAAAGGGGCCTTTACCAATTGTTAATGGAGGTAGGGTTTTTAAAAATACAGTAATTACAGCCGTAAAATTCAAGCCGAGTCCTAGGGCAGAGGAAAAGCATATTCAAATGAAAGTAACAGCAACACAGATTCCAGATTCCTACAAAACACTTTTCAGAAAATGAATCTTTTTCTTATGAGTACTTAGGTTTTCCAGTTAAATAAATTATCCATCACAGGTTTACTGACTCAAAACAGTCAACTAAAATTTATTAACACTGCACTGATTAGCCAAAATACATTGAAATTAATAAACATGTTGGCTGCTCAGAAAACCCAAAAACTCATTAAAAATTTTTTAACTCCTTTCGTCTTTATGGATGAACAAAGCAAAGCTCCCCAAGAATCTGCTCATATGAGTAAAAAGAAAATAAATGCAGCCTAAAATTGATACAATGCTCCTTGAAACTTATTTCCAAGACCAAGAACCAAAGTAAAGCATTTTCAGAAATGGAAGCAATGTGAATTGAAATAAAGTAGAAAAAAAAATTCCATCTACTTTATAGAAGCTGCTCTTCACAGCTTAGCAATCATTTTGATTAAATAAAATCATACCAATTTACATTTATTTTCTATTTTCCAAAACTTCACCCAGTCTCAAAAACAAAAAAGTGCATCCAAAACCCAGCAATTCCCAGCGCCATCAACCTTCTCCACCCTTTGAGCCATTTCTCAAAGATTTCCCAAGCAGATTCAACTTCTTACTGTAAGGAACTTCTAAAGTAAATCACTCTGTCACTCACCTGGAAAAAGTATCCCAATTATAAAAATCTGAAATAATTTATTATCAAATTTAGAATTTAAATAAAAACAAAGTTTGCTTGCAAAGGTGTTAAAGGAAAGGAAAAGACAGCATGCATTCAAAACTAGAGATGAAGACAAGAATACTTATCTACACAGGCACTGGCAGACGCAATTTAATTGTCATCTTTACTCATTGTAAGACATAGCCCACCCTACAATTTTTTCATTCACTAATCACTGAGGTACCAATATTCAAGAATGGAAAATTTAATATTGAAAAAATAAAACCTAAATTGAAGCTTTTCCCTCACCCCCTTCAGAAAACTATGGCAGGTTTGTGTGAAAAGTTAATATACTTAAGAGACTTTTACAACCTACGTTGGCTTTTTTAAGGAACAAAATTCATGTCCAACTTACTGGTTCTGTGATATAATGATCACTATGTAAATAACATTGTCAGCAGACTTTGTAAATGAACGTATCTTGGTTATCAACTGGCACATCTTGTTGGTACCAAAAGAACTCTTGAAGTTTAAAACAATCTCATTTAATTCAGAACAAATGCGCCATGCCAAAGTGCAACAAATATTGTGCGACACTCAATGAGACACTGACAGATAAGAGCTGCATGGGAATTACTAAATCCACCTGCAAAGCAATTCTGTATAAATTGCATTGCATGCAAAAGTCGATTCCACGTAGTTGGGAGTTGTTCCTTGATGTCAGTTTCTCAACGTAGCCACAGTTTAAGTCGCAGTGCATCAACTCCATTTAAATAGTATCTGAACAGCCTCTTATCTCGAACAAAACCAAGATTTTCATACAGTTTCAAAGCAGACTTATTTGTTATTTCTGTTTCCAAAACAACCTTCAAAAAAGAGAAAACTAAATTATAATTTCACAATTTCAAAAACTGACAAAGCATATATAATCAGATCAAATATTTTAAAAATAGATACTGATTTGTTAAATGGATGATAAAAGCAATACTGATATACAGAAAAACAGTCATCAAGATGGTAACGGTAACTACTTCTGAGTCAAAGAAGTGTGATCACAGAGGACTTCTCTTGATTTTTGTGATGTTTGGTATTTTTAGCACTTGTAATACATGTTTTACACTAAAAAATGAGTAATTCCTGTGGAGAAAATTAAGGTAAGAGATAGAGAAGGAGAAAAAAAAAAAAAAAAACAGGTTGTTTTTTTTTTTTTTTCTAAATAAACCAGTACTTGAAATTTAGACTGGCCTTGAACTCCTGTTTTATTACCCTGTCACCATTTGTGCTGGTAACAACTACCATAATAATGCTCTAGAGTCTAGACCAGTCTTCAAGTATTGAGCCCAATATGCCTGATGCCTGTTTGCATAAATAAAATTTTACTGGTGGGCTGGGGATATAGCTCAGTGGTAGAGTGCTTGAGGAGGCTTTGGGTTCAATCTCCAGCACTGCAACAAAAAGAAGGGGGAGGAAGAGAGAAAGAGAGGGAGGAAGGGAGAGAGAAGGAGAAGGACACAGGAAAGAAGGGGGGAGGGAAAATAAAGAAAAAAGTTTTATTGAACACAGCCATGCCTATTTGTTTACATGCCTATGGCTGCTTTCTTGACACAGAACAGAGCTAAGTAGTTGTCACAAAGAACCACGGTTTGTAAAACTTAAAATATTTAGCATCTGGCTTTTTGCTGAAGTTTGCTGAACCTAGAACAAGAGAACTCAAACATTAGAGTTTATCATAATCACCTGAATTGCTTGTTAAAGTAAGACTGCTGCTGATGGCTTAGTAAGGTAAGCTATTTGCTGCAGAAACATGAGGACCCGAGTTCCTATCACCCATGTATAAGTTGGGTGTGGGAGAACATGGCTATAACCCAGCTTGGGATTGAGGGACACAGGCAGATCCCTAGAGCTTTCTGCCACCCAACCTAGCCAAACTGGTGAGCTACAGGTGAAGTGAAGAGACCCTGTATCAACAAAATAAGGGCTGGTGAGATGGCTCATTGGGTAAAGGTGCTTGCCAAGCAAGCCTGGTAACCTGAGTTTGATTCCCAGAACTCAAGTGATGGTGAAAGGAGAAAACCAACTCCACAAAGTTTTCTTCTGACCTCCAGATGTACACCATGGCAAGAGTACCCTCACATCATACATACACACACATACAAATTAATTCTTAAAAGTAAGGTGGAGAGCAACTGAAGACGATAACTACTATTGATCTCTGGCCTCCAATATGTACAAACACCTGCCTGCACATATATACACTATACTACACTATCCTACATAAACGCAAACAGAGAGAGAGAGAGAGAGAGAGAGAGAGAGAGAGAGAGAGAGAGAGAGAGAGAGGCTTGCTTAACCCCATCCCTAGAAATTCTGAGTAGGTTTGGAACAGGGCCCAAGAATTTGTATTTTAAACAAATTAAAAGTGAGGCTGTTGGTCAAGGGGCTATAGTCTAGCTATTAGAGACAAACTTAACAGAGGAATATACAGTTATCAGGTTCCATTTGCATCCCTGGAGTATCACTGAACTGGTGGCCTATATCAAAGAACTGATACTTTTAAATACTGTGCTTTTCTTGATTTACTTCTACTTGCCTCTGCCCAAAAACCCTATCATCCCAATTTTTATATATACTGTTCTATTTGCCTTTTCTAGTGATTCTTGCCATGTCATTAGAATTAGCAACATAATGAACCACAGCTCCTGTTAAGGTGTCATAACCTTTAGGTATTTAGAATGAAGGGGAAAAAAATAAAGTACAATTAGACAAAGGCACAATAAAGCATGTGAGGCTCTCCCTGTTCTATGTTAAGCAATCCAAAAATCTGTTAAGAATTCCAACAGGCATAGAGAAAATACAGCACTTCAACTTGTCATATCCAAAATCAAACTCAGCTTCCTCCACAATTCCACATCCAGTACAGAGGATGCCACCACGACAGTTTCTCAACTTGAAACTCAGGAGTCTTGAATTCTTTCTGCTCCACTCTCCTACACCCATCCAAAGACTGAGTATTGTCAATTCTCCCTAAATCTTCTCTGAAATGGCCCTCTTATTTCTATTTCCCACTGGTAGCACCCTAAACTACCAAGAGCTCTTGTAATTACAAGACTTCTTAACTCAAGAGTCTCAATTTTCTACAAGGAGAGTAACTGTCTATTAATTTTCTAATTAAGATAATTTATTGGCTCTCTGTCCTTAAATAAAGTCCATGACGTGAAAATTATCTCAAGAATTCTAAAAGGTCTCTCAAGATACAGCTTTTACCTACACCCTAGCTTTGCTCTATTCAAGTTCAACATCAAACGGGCAGACTTTGAAACCCAACATGATCTATCTCACCTTTAGGTGTGTCCAACCTTTTAACAATGCAATATGAGGTCACCTGCAAATGTGTTAGGTCATATATAGCTATTCTGGGACATGTGTGGCCCATGAGCCACAAGCTGGATATGCCTTCCGGGCTAGAACTTTCATATAAACCATTTTCTGTCTGGAAGATAATACCCGTCAAGCATCAGAGTGTCGTAGGAACAATGCAGAGTGTTGAGGAGCAGTATAAAAGGAAAAACTATAGTTCACAATACTCTGCACTGCTCCTATGACACTCTGATGCTTGAGGAGTATCTCACTTCTAGCCAGCAAGCTAAGGAGAGTAGAGATCACTGCATACCTTCCAGCTGCTTCCTCTGTACCTAACACACTACCTGATACACGGAAAGCTCAGTATTTGGTTAAACGTGTTCTTAGCATCTTTCATTATATTACATACATCACATAAGCACATAAAATAAAAATACAAATATTTTAAAAAGTATTGCCGTGCTTTTTAGATGACCAGAGTACTGGAAAAGGCAGCATCATCTAAAGGCGTAATTAACTCATAAAAGTAAAAAGTGGGGCTGGAGAGATGTCTCAGAGGTTAAGAGCACTGGCTGCTCTTTGAGGGGGCCTGGTTCAGTTCCCAGCACCCACATGGCAGCCAACAACTGTTCGTTATCTCCAGTTCCAGGAGATCTGATTCCCTCTTCTGACCTCCTCGGACACTGCATGACACAAGTGCACTTACATACATGCAGGCAATACACTCATACACAAAAAAATTTTTTTAAATTTTAATTATTTTTATTTTATGTGTATGTATTGCCTGCATACAGGTTAAGTGCACCCATGTCGTGCAATGCCTGAGGAGAACAAAAGAGGCTGTCGGATTCCCTGGAACTGGAGTTATAGACAGTTGCTAGCTGCCATGTGGGTTCTGGGATTCGAACCCGGGTCTTCTGCAAGAACCACCTGTGTTCTTAACCACTGAGCCATCTCTCCAGCTCATAAAAATATTTTTTAAAAAGAAAAAGCATGTCAAACCCAAATCTTTAAGAATCTAAAACCAAGTAATTAATATTTTAAGATCAAGTAAAAATATTTCTAGGAAGACTTTAAATTATGAGGAAAGCAAATTGACTTAAATAATAATTAAAACAATTTCTCTCTGCTCTTAAATAAAAATTCAACTTTTAGGCACGATATGGTGTCTCACACTTAGTCCAGGTACTTAGGAAGTAGAGACAGATGGACCTCTTCTGAGTTTGAGACTATCCTGGTCTATATACTGAGTTCCTGGCCAACATGGCAGCTTGTAACAGACTGTAACCCTAATTCAGTGCACATACATGCATGCAGGCAAAACACTCATACACATAAAATAAGTCATAAAAAAGAAAAAATGAGTTTAATTCTCTTTAATAGAGAAATACAATTACAGCGATGTTCTACTGATTCTCCTAGCAATAATAAGCTAAACCATTATAGTTTAGGCAGCATTTTTAACACTGTAGGTGGGAAGCTCATGGACAGCAGGTTATGTCCACTGTTATCTGACTTCCTAAAGGCCTTCTATTAGGTATCTGAAGAACAATTAATTATTGTTCTTTACCACAGTTAAGAAATGAATAACATATCACACAAAATGACAGAGTAGAAAAAGTTAAATGATTTGCTTTCAGTCATACAACTGGGTTTGTTTGGGGGGTGCATTTTTTGGTCTTTTTGAGACAGGGTCTCCCTGTAGCTCCAGCTGGCCTTGAACTCAAAGATCCTCCTGCCTCTGCCTTCCAAGTGTTGGGATTAAAGGCATGCACCACAACATCCAGCTCAGTCATACAACTGTTAAGTAACAGAAGACAAATGAGGAGTCAAGGCTTCTCATACTAAATTCTTTAATTAGACCAAACCATTCACTCAAAATCCTTACAGTATGGGACAAAGAGATGGCTCAATTAGTAAAAATGCCTGCCACCAAGCCTAGCCAAACTGGTGAGCTCCAGGTTCAGTGAGTTACCTTGTCTTTAAAACACAAGGTGAGACAGATTGAGGAGACACCATTAGCACCTCTGGTCTGACAGACAGGCAAACAGGCAGACAGACATAGAGAGACACACACATACACACAGAGACACACACAATTCAATCAGCATTTTAATCCTAAAATATATTTTCATTTTTTAAAAAAATATTTTATTATTTTTATGTGTATGCGTGTACTACCTGCATGTAGGTAAGTGCACCCATGTCGTGCAATGCCTGCAGAGGACAGAAGAGGCTGTCAGATCCCCTGGAACTGGAGTTATGGACAGCTGTTAGCTACCATGTGGGTCTTGGGATTCGAACCAGGTCTTCTGCAAGAACAACTGGTATTATTAACTGCTGAGCCATCTCTCCAACCGCTCTAAAATATATTTTCAAAATCCCTGTATGCTGGGGCTGGAGAAATGGCTCAGCAGTCAAGAGCACTGCCTGCTTTTGCAGAGGACCCAGGTTCAATTCCCAGCACCCACATGGCAGCTACAAACTGTCCTTAACTCCAGTTCCA